ATGTAGAATAGCTTGAATAGTTTTTATTATTGAGAAAAATCTGCAAAATAATGTGTGTAATTTATTGTGTATCCCTGTTACAGTTGTCTATACATGTATGATATTTACATTTGAGTTTATATGGAGTTTACAAATCATAATAAACTAGTATGGAAAATTCAGGAATGATGTGTTATTTCATGCCATTTTGAAATATTGAAAAAGTTTGGAAAAATTTTACTTCCGGTCGGGAATTATTACGATTTTTCACTTTTTCCACTAAAAATCTAGTCCATGAATGTTCTCAGAAACTGTTAAAGGTAGGAGTCTCAGGTATGATAGAATTTGGTTTGTAGATGTGTGATGGAAACATTTAGTGTGTCGTCGTCACTTCCGGTCGTCACAGGAAGTTATTTAAAAAGGGTAATTTTTTGAACTTTTTCGTTTTTCATTATTTTTTTATGATGTTAATAAGCTAAATAAAGAGTCTTACAAGAATGCTAAATATGTAGTTTGTTTAAAAATTGATTAACCTATACTCTAAATATTTATCATTTTTCAATTTTAAGCGATGATGTTTGATAGCCTAATGGTTAGCATGTTGAATTTTCACGTGGGCGATCCGGATTCAATCCAAAGAATGTCCGAATTTTTTCTCACTTTTTGGGGCTCAAATATAACATTTTATCTTTAAGGGAGAGGGGGGGGGGCTATGTCGTTCGACGTCAGAGCAGCGGTGTTTGACGGCACAATATCAGCGTGTCTTTTTACTCCCTCATAAAGAGTTTGCAGTTGAATTTTGCATTAATTAATGTGCATAGATGCAATTGTGATATGACAAAACGAGGAAAACATGTTGGTACAAATGTATATGTAGCTAGATACCTATGCAATTGTATCATAAATTGGAGAGTTGCCGAATCGCATTTTGAAAGTAGAATTTATTGCTTTCTCATGTTGATTGAATAACATATAGCAATTTCAAATGAGAGAAAAATAAACAAATTCAATGATATTTTTCTTTGATTTTTGTAGGGCAATATTCCTTTATAGATGCAAGTTACTGAACATAATAGGTATCAGATTCCTTGAGCGTCATATGGCGAGACGTGTTTTGTTGCGAAACATTCCAGTCTTTTCATTAATGTGTTACTAATTGGAATAATCCACTTTGGGGGTAAAGAGGAATATAAAATGTGTAAGAAAACTTAGCGCTGCATTTATGTTACTTGTCCGTATACGGTATGTTATATGTACAGTGTAATAAATATACATTCTATCTTAGGCTAGAAAATCAGGCTATAGCAACATATTTTTTTAAAAATGTCATTGAAGCTATCACGTACACTTATTCAATTGAAGACACATTCCAAAGAAAAGGCGCGAAGATTTACTCGTGACGTTTGGCGCGAAGTAATTATCTTGACCCGCCTTTCACAAATGGTCTGATGCAGTAGTGTAGAAGTACAGAAAAAGATTACACGGACATGTCTGAATTTGGAATTGCATTGAATATAAAGTTGAATGCATAAAGAATAAAGGAAGTAAACACAATAGTTTTTTTTAGTTTTTATCAGTAACAGATTATTTTCTCTGCTATCAGTTATTGTTTAAACTCAAGTAACAAATCCGATGTAAATCTACTAGTACTTGGACAAAATTTAGCTGGCTAATTTTCATCCTATAATTCCACACTATAAGAAAAAAAGATTAACCTGCCTGACACTCGTTACTTCAGGGAATGAGTGCAAGGTAAACATCGGTGATGACTGGTACATTGCGCTAGTGTAGTGGTTTAAATATTAAAGAACAAGGTTCACTTAGGGCCTTTTTTGGCCCTGTGAATTTCAGAAAAACTGGAACTGCTTGGTTTTAGTTGACAATGCATTAAATATCATTTAGACCTTTGATGACTGCGTATCTATCAAAAATGACGTAATTTTCTGGCTAGCCAATGCATTATGTCGTCATAAAATGTGTCATTTTTTCTTCTTCAATATTTAATATAGAGCGTAACCTCTGATCTTAAATATGCAACTATAAAATGATAGAACTATTTCTGAGGATTACAAAACCTGTTTTATTTTTTAGATCAGAGGGTGTGCTCATATTATTTCTCTTCTGTGAAAGTATTCTAATATACTTATTTTCATTAAAATTTAAGAACATTGCAATTTCATGAGCCCTGTTTTCCAAGACCTTGGCTATAAGGAGACATTTTTTTAATAGGAAATGAAAACACTAAGTCTCTACTTTAACTTGTTGTTTAAAATGGAACATAAAGTGTTAGTCAATAAATTGGTATATCTACAGGGCCATTTTATGCATAAAGTGAACCTAGCTCTTTTCGGGCAGCCAATCTTGGTTTAATCCCGACTATATCTGAATTTTTTGCTTAAATTTACGTTTTCATCTTTATCAATGATGTTGAACTTTGTTTTTTCTCTTTGTGAATTCTGTGCTCTTTTTATTTTTTTCTTTATAAATAAAAAATCTTTTTAAAGACCCATGTTAATTTTTTAGGTGTCTTTACAACGAGCAGATATAAATGTAATTTTACGTGCAAAGAATATCAAAGTTAAGGATGGTTATTCGGACGGAAGACCTCTCGTTGCTCGCAACGAGTATCTAGTTGATATTGTTTTTACATTTCTGGTGCCGATTTGAACATTGATATTGTTTTTACATTTCTGGTGCCGATTTGAACATTGATATTGTTTTTACATTTTTGGTGCCGATTTGTTCATTGATATTGTTTTTACATTTCTGGTGCCGATTTCTTTAATGATATTGTTTTTACATCTTTAGTTGCTGATTTGTTCAGTGATATTGTTTTTACATTTATAGATGCCGATTTGTCCAGCGACATGACTTTACATTTCTGGTGCCGATCTGTTCAGTGATATTGTTTTTACATTTATAGGTGCCGATTTGACCAGTGATATTGTTTTTACATCTCTAGGTGTCTATTTATTCAGTGGTATTGGTTTTACATTTATAGGTGCCGATTTGTCCAATGATATTGTTTTAGCATCTCTAGGAACTGATTTGTCCAATGATATTGTTTAAACATTTTCTCCTGCCTATTGTCCAATGAAATATTTTTTTACATCACAAGGTGCCGATTTGCCTAGTGATTTTTTTTTTACATTTCTGGTGACAATTTTTTCAATGATATTGTTTTTACATCTTTTGGTGCCGATTTGTCCAGTGACATTGTTTTAACATCTATAGGTGCCGATTTACTCAGTGATATTGTTATTATTTTTCCGGTGCCGATTTGTGCGGTGATATTGTGGGTTTTTTTTTTTTTTTTTTTTTTTTTTTTTTTTTTTTTTTTACACCTATAGATGCCGATTTTTGCAGTGATATTGTTTTTACATCTATATGTGCTGATTTGTCCAGTGATATTGTCATTACATTTCTACGTGCCGATTTGTTCAGTGATATTGTTTTTACGTCTCTAGGTGCCCATTTGTCTAGAGATATTATTTTTAAAGCTTTGAGTGCCCATTTATCCAATGTTATTGTTTTTACATCTTTAGGTGCAGGTTGTCCTACTGGTTGGACGCCCAAAGAAGACAGTGGGCTATGTTACAAATATTATACTTCAATAACAAATCATAGATTTGCCACTGATCAGTGTTTCCACGAAGAAGCCATACTAGCCACTCCAAAGAATTCTTCTGATGTTGATTATCTAGCCAATAACGTTATTGGGTATAGTCTTATTATTTATTTGTTAGGATATACGTTGATGATACTAGAGAATCTACAATCTCGTTTAAATTCAACATTTTGCAAATTCTTTCGAAAACTTTAGCAAATTTTATTTTTGCATATATTAATGGAATGTTAATCAAATACCTTTTCAAATTTTTGCATACGAGGATAGACATGTAAATTGACCTACTATTGTGAGACTTGTGTTTATCTGACAATGCAATAATCAACAATTAAACTTCATTCTACCATTTTATGATATTCCGTATTGGAAAAGCAAACAACACTACAGGGTTACTATTCTTATGCATATAATCTGTGTCAGAAGAGTCAACTTAGATTTGAATTTCTATTCCCTTATTTGAGATATCTTAAACTATAAAGTGGTCGTTTATAATGATTTTGGATGGCAAGCGATTCATTTTAAATTCCATGGTTTTTGCTTATTCAACAGATATAGTATCAATTAGGGTACAAATAGCAAATACCACATTATCTGAAATATGCCCTTATGGAAATTCAGATACTGCAATACACTAGTGTATCTTACAAAGTTTGGCACTTAGCTGTAAGCTTCATTCGCTATCGCTACAATATTTTTCCATAAGACGTACAACTTAGCCCTAGTTACCACATGCAGGCATTGATTATTATTCCTTAGTTAGGCCGTAAGTACACTGGAAATCATCGATGTTTACTTTCCCTCTGATATTTGTAGCCATATTTTAGATACGCTTTTGAATGCGGATAAAAAAGAAGAGCGTATTATCACATATCAAAAGGTTTGTTCAGTCAGCACCTTCTACAAATTTACATGAATGGATGTAATAAACTTAAGGACATACGCAACCTACCTTACCTACTGATAATTTTTCAGGATATTCTTAATTTAAGATTATAGTACCATCAGATGTTCGTAGACAAAAAATCAGTATGCATTACCAGGGAATTTGAAAAGATATCAATTGATGAAAATTCTTGTATAATTCAAAGAAAAATATACAAAAATTACTAAACATATATTCTAGATGTTTTGTTTATCCAACTTGTTTTAGAAGAAGTGTACAACAGCATATATAGACCTAAAATGTAGCACACAGTTCCTTTAAGTATAGGAACTCTTCAACTCCAGGGAAAAAGACAATAAAGTTCAAACTACGTTGCGTATGTCCTTAATTCATATATATGAATGAATCTCTTCCACTAGGTCTTTGTTTGAATATGTATGGGTAGGACTCGTCAAAAGATCCTTTATAGAACCCTGGACTTTCGCAGATGGTCCTCCGCTTAAATCGACAATGGCATCATGGGATTTATGGGATAATGGTGAAGTATTTTATTGTTATCAAAAACTGACAAATGCGTGAAGATTTGATAGTTGCATTCTCCTCTAAAGATTCATAATTTATGTGATCAAGAATTAGCATGGTATAAGGTATGATTTTAGACCATTCTTACATATATTTCAACTCGTTTCAATTCAGTAGGAGATATACTGGAATTCTTTGGTTACAAATATTAAAATTGTTGTAGGTATTATTGTAAAGGGTGGGGCTTATGGAGAAAGTCCTGCCCCCCCCCCCCCAACTCTTATGTCAGGAAATGAATATTCAAATATTGATATTTGATAATAAATGACGTGTATGATTATATTGCACAATTTATTCTCTATATTGGCTGTAATGATGGTCCCATGGATTGGATAAGGGATTAAGTTCAAACCATGATTGGATTAGGGATTAAGTTTTTGGCTAATTTCAAGAAGTCATATTTATATTTAACATGATGGTCTAACTTACTGTCCTTTAAAGTCAGATGATAAAATGGCAATATTTTAAGGGAGTCATAACTTTATAATTGAAAAACTAGAGTCCATACTTGAAGTTGCCAATGAATAAAAGGTGTCCTTTGAATTTGATTCAGTCTGTCTTAACAAGGTAAAGTCAGTGGTAGTTTGAGAAAAAGTTATAATTTATTTGGTTAAAGTTTTTGAAAAACGAAACATGAGAAGCATTTACTTTTTTTATATTTATGAATTTTCCCGATTCGATTAACACTTGGCAACTTAGGATGTATAAATCCTTATTATCTTCGGATTTACAATATTTCACGAATAACAGCTGCAATTATTTAACTTCAAAACGTCTTCTAGTTGATATTTTTCTTTCAATGCCAACTTTATAAAAAATAGTTGTATATTTTTATCTCAGATAATCAACGAATTAATATCGTGAAATAAATTTATGATTTTTTTAATATTTATTTTTAGGTTTTCCATCATCTACTTCTTCCGCCATATGTGTATATATGACTGCAACAGCTAATGAGTACAAGTTTAAAAATGCAAACTGTAATAGTGAATATCACTTCATTTGTCAGAAAACTATGATACAGCATTGTAAGTATAATTGAAAATATTTGGGTTTTAGAAGCATAGGTTGATCTTCAGTACAGTTCCTCATAATTAATATCATTAGAATGAATGCATTCAATCTTAAACTTTTTTATATATTATCTTTCAAAAGAATAGTAACCAAAATTGTATGTTTGTAAATTTTCTAATGTTTAAGATTCTTTCTGCAGAGAAATTTTAATTTGAGAAGCATATTTTATTCAAAAACTTCTAAATGAGAAGAAGAAAAAAGACTTGCTGTGGCCTTTAACTCGACATTTAGATATATCGACGATGTATTATCAATTAACAATATTTACTTTCATTCATATGTCGATTCGAAATATCCAAAAGGGCATGAAATAAAAAACATCACAGAATCTGCCACATCTGTTTCATATTTGGATGTTTTCCTTACTCTAGCCGATAAGAGTCAACTAACAACTAAACTGTATGACAAACGAGATGACTTCAGCTTTTCCATCTTCAACTTTCTTAATTTATGTAGTAATATCCCGCTAACACCTTCATATGGTGTTTACATACTCAAGTGCATTTTCCGAGTACGATCAATTTTTAATCCGAGGCAAGCTACTAACAGATAAGTTGATGTTACAGGGATTTCAACAACCTTGTTTAAAGTCAGCATTTTGTAAATTTTAAGGTCGTTATAATGACTTTGTTAGCAAATATAACTTATCATTGGGTCGTGTTTTTGCTGACCTGTTTCAAACCAATTGTTAAGCCTTTTTTATACTGATTTTTGACAACGGAATGTTCCGTCTACCTGATCAATACACGGGGCTTAGCCGGGTGTGACAGATCAACAGAGGATCCTCCTAGGCACGATCCCACCTCTGGAATTTCCAGAGGTTCGTGTTTTATGCCTTCTTCACAGAATTATATTGTTTTTAGATTTTTTGAGATCGATCACTGTTTGCTATCTTCACATTTTCATTTCCAGAATATCAGGGATATGTCGATTGTATTGGTATTGAAGCATGCCAATGTGTATGGAATCAACTCGAATTAAATCAGAGCTCCCTTAGAGCTAAATTTTGGTGCACGATTTGGAGTCTAAATTTTTATGAAAATAAAAGGAAAATCAAAACAAATCAGCTGAAGTAGAACAGAAGGGCCATAATGACTCAAATGAGAGTTGTGGCCCATTGACCTCTTGTTTTGTAATTTGTCCTTTTCTATTTTCTCTTTTTTTCTTTTCCGACTGGAAGAATTTACGTTTATGTTTGTTTGTAATTTGTCAGGTCTTATTTCCCCTTTCTGTCAGCTTGTTCTGTTGGAATGACTCTCCTAGGAGTTCCTGTAATTTGTCAGGTTATATTTTTCCTTTTTATCTATCAGCCTGTCTGCCTGGTTGGATTCACTCTCCTGGAGGATCTATTTGCTACAGAAAGTTTGGCGAGTCCTACTCTTACAATCAGAGTTTGGACATCTGCAACAGCAATGGTTCTTATATTCTGATGCCAGGAGACCCACACGAAGACATGTTCTTCAGCTGGTACCTTAATAAGTAAGCAGTAAGCTTTTTACGTGTAATACATACTTGTAGTGAATTTGAATATTATTATTATGTGTTCAAATTTTCTTCTTTCTTTTTTTAAAATATATTATTGTTAATTTTTTTCTCATATTAAACTTTCTAACGTAAGGGAGATGATAAAACCTCCAGTAGGTAATACATGTAATAGTTTCTAGTTCATTACACGTAAAAAAGCACCCGGGGACTTAAAAGATTCCCTGGTTTGACATTAAGCTTGTCTCAGTTTCCTTTATATAAAATCTTTCAGTTGTCTCCATTCAGTTCATAAATGTGTTTCATGTAAATTCTACTTTGTATTTTTTTTTTAAATTGACTTTTGATTAGCGTGTATATTGAAAATTCCAATACAGTGAAACATGTTCATAACGAACACACTTATAATGAATTGACGCTTACAGTGAAGTGATTACCATTCCCCGTGGATTTAAAATATATTGTGACTTTAACGAATCGCGTTTATTTTGTTTGTTTGTTTGTATGTTATTTAACGTCCCTCTCAAGAATTTTTCACTCATATGGAGACGCCACCACTTGCCGGTGGAGAGCTGCAAATTTTGACCTTATACTCGGCACTTAGGGCCATTGAGCAGTGAGGGGTCTTTTTCGTACCAGCACCTACTGCGACACGGACCTCGGTTTATACGGTCTAATCCGAAGGACCGGTCTCCACGTCCCACAGTGGGATTCGAACCCGCGACGTAAGGATCAACTCCTTATAAAAAAAACCCAAAATTATCCGTCCCTGGCACTTCATTAGGAGTGTTTTACTGTAGCACTTTTCACTTCGTGTAGAGCTTTATATTATGTCTTTGACTATGCATTACTTTGTTAGAGAAAGACTAATAAAGAATAAAGGTTGGACAAGACACATATTAATATCTCTTGATATAAGAGATGACTATTATGAGTACATTACTGACAATGACATTTTTCCAGGTATCAAAATTTTAAGAAAATTTGGATGGGATACAAATTGCAAAACTCGCATTTCATCTGGGAGTCTGGGAACCAAGCTAACTACACAGGATGGGAGGATGGTAAAATCATAATTACTTGATCATTATGAATAAAAAAAACTCTTAGATTTACAACTTTACATAATTTTGCAATCTATGTGATTGGTGTCATTATTTATAGATGAGCCACATAGCTGGGAAGATTGTGCAGTTTATGCTTCCAACGGAAAAAGTTTCCATCGCTGGTATGGACTTGACTGCAGTTTAACTGCTGCTACTTACTGTCAAGACACTAATTTCCTCAATACAATTGGTAAGCGGTAGTCAATTTACTCATTAATGTTATAACAAGAGTCCACACTGCTCACCCAATTGCAAATCACTGTGGACCTACTGTTTTTCATCAGTAGATTCTCCCATGTATTCCTTAGTAAACCGTTGATGCCTTTTGTGGCCCTACCCCCCCCCCCACCCCCCCACAGGTCATGATTCGAACAAACTTGAATCTACACTACCTGAGGATAATTCTATTTTGATATGACTAATCATGCCTTCATTCCTGAGAGGTAAATGTTTACAGATTTTATCCTCTTTATTCCTACATAATAATTTCGATCATCTAACGTGGCTCCAACCTACCCCAGGTCATTTGAATAAACTTGAATCTATACTACCTGAGGATGTTTCAGTATCAAGATTACTATTCGTTGCCGTTCTTGAGAAGATTTGTAAAGATTTTTACTATGTATTCCTATTTAAACTTATATCGCCCATTGTAGCTCCACCCTACCTATGATTTGAACGAACTCTAAACTTTAGCTGCCATTTGTGGCCCCACTCGACCCCTGGAGGTAAAACTTGATACTACACTATACATACTACACTGAGAATTCTTCCATATCAATATGACTTATCATTCCTTTGCTGTTTTGGAGGATTTTTTTCTATAGATTCTTATGTAAAACTTTGATCGTCCATTGAGGCCTCACCCTATCCCAAGGGTCATGATTTGAACAAATATGCATCTACGCTATGAATTGAATCTTTCACACAAGTTTTTAATATTTTGGGAAAGTGGTTCTTTAAAGAAGAGACTTTTTAAAGATAGTTACCTATATATTCCTATGGAGAACTTACAAAAAAGAATCTATACTAATTGAGGAAACTTTCATATAATATTCAGCTCTTCTGGCTCATTTGTTCTTGAGAGGAAGATTCTTAAAGATTTTGTCTGATAAATTCCTATGCAAAAATTTGATCGCCTATTGTGGCTCCACTCTAGTCCCAGGGGTCATGATTTGAAGAAACAAACTTGAATCTACACTACTTGAGGATGCTTCCACACAAGTTTCATATTTTCAGGCGCAGTGGTTCTTGAAAAGAGTTTTTAAAGATAACATTAAATTTTCATTTGAATTTCCATCATCAAAGGATACCTGTGGCAAGTTTGGTTGAAATAGGTCAGTGGTTCTTGAGAAGAGGTCAAAATGTGAAAAGTTTGCAGACAGACAGACAGCTAACTTGAGTCTTCGGCTCATGTGAGCTAAAAACTATAAAACTAGCGCCTGTTCTTTCTACAGAAATGATTAGAATCTGTGTACGTAGGATGTAGACTATAGACTAAGTATTAATTGTTGGATAACATCTACATAGTCTTAAAAATATATAACAATTTATTTCTATATTTTATTGGCTTTACTGATTCCTATTGTAGATCCCAATTGTAATTCACGACAAAATATCCTTGATTTATAACCACTCCTGTTTACACGATACAAATAATTGTCACCTATGTAATTTCACAACTAAACAAGAAGAATGGTGCTAATCTAGCAGTCTAAACCTAGACACTGATAATAAACATCCATTGCAATTGACCGTTTTGATTTGTGTGTTTTACATCTCAGTATGAGTAAAACATTCTCGATGGGTTAGAGGGCTGAAAATTTAGACCTGTGCTCGCCACTTACATCTTTTGAGCAGTGAGGGATCCTTAATCTTCGTGCCAGCACCTACTGCGACATCGGACCTCAGTTTATATGGCCTCATCCGAAGGACCGGTCCCCTTGTCCCGCAGTGGGATTCGAACCCGCCAGATAAGGATCAACTTCTTACTCCGCGACTCTAAGCAACCGTTCAAACTACGCGGGGCGAGTGTTCTTTTTGATAAGAGAGCTCAATACATAGATTTTTTTCTGCAAACTCTGGCTTAATAAACAACCCTTAAATAATCGACTTGGAATTTTTACAAAGGTTATAATAAAGTACATATGATATGGCATAAGATTAGGTAAAATTGTGATTATCATCTGTAATATGACTAAAAAACATAAATACATATTGATGTTACAATAATCTAAGATAATTATTTATGTAGATACCACTACAGTTCAGGACACAACGGTGTCTGATTCACAAATGACGACACTTGTCACAACAGAGACAACACCAGGTACCACCCAAACAACACCAGGCACTACCGAAACAACACCAGGCACCACCCAAACAACACCTGGTACCACCCAAACTACACCAGGCACCACCCAAACAACACCAAGCATCGACCAAACAACATCAGGTACCACCCAAACAACATCAGGCACCACTCAAACGACACCAGGCACCGACAAAATAACATCAGTCATTACCAATTCTACACCAATCACCACCCAGACAACTCCAGGCAACATTGATACAACTCCGGTTATCACCCAAATAACTGCTTTGTCGTTTGATGCTTCAACCCAAAGTGGAGATAGTACAACAGTGTTTACTGAAGCACAAACAACAAGAGAAAGTACACTAACATCGAGTACTTCCCAATCTACAACTGCTTCGACAACGATGATCTACAGCAGTACATCCTTTACAGATTTATCTTGTGGTTGTCTCTGTTATGGAAATAAAACAAATATTACTACAGAGGAATTACAGGAGATATTGATACAAATAAAAAGTAACCTTACTGTCGACACTAAAACATTGTCGTCTGCAATTCGACAGCTCACGAGCGCTCACGACTCACGGGTATCTTCAAAAAGCATCGGAAGTGTAGGAGTAGCTGTACTGGTGTCAGTTATGATTTTCTTGTTATTTCTAGATCTTGTTCCTGTTAAAGGTGACTGTGTTTTGATGAAAAAAGGAAAATAACCTTAAATTGATATCACTTCTCTTTTGGTGCACTCTATAACACTGGCATTATTATTTTACATAAAAAGAGTGAAAAGTCGTTTAAAATAAATTGCAAAACAAAAGGTCAGCGATTGGTATTTGAGAACAGAGTATTCTGAATCTGCAAGGACTAGTGAAAATAGTGAATATAATATAAGTAAAAGTGAATGCGTCCAAAATAAAAGCACGAATCTGTGCATTTCCATATCACAATCAGCACTATTGCTCAGAAAACAATGAAAACAGAAAACAATGAAAACACATGAAGATCAGTATTTAATAATGAAATTCAGTGTTGATTACCTTAGCGAATTAAAACTTTAAACAAATGAATATTTAATTTTTAAAACAGTAGAAAAACAAAAGAAAAGAAAACAAACGACCAGACAAACAAATGGAAATAAGACAAGTTGATAAAAAGTTATGTCATTTCTTTAACGTAAATTCTTCAGTTAAATAATCTTTATTTCAACAACATATGCGTAAACTCCAAGGGAATATGTTGTCAAACCGTGGGATACATGGCTTCACTTGCGATTCCACACTGATTGTCCTTATTTCTGGACATCATTATGTAGCCGTCCATACCCCAAGATTTGCTCCAGCTGAAATTTGTTGAATTTATGTAATAAACTAAATCAGCTTGAAAGGCATGAAAACTGTTTCTCTGCAAAATTATATTTTGGCTCATTTGAATGACCATCTGATTAACCTTATAAATTATCTTTTATATTTCACATTTTCACATTGTCTTGTCTCAATTCAGCATGTTTAAACATTTCAAAAAGTAGTTGTTGGCGTACAATACTTGCCTGTTTTTTACAAGCCAATACTCATCTCCTTCATAAACACCGTACCCAACAACTAAGACGGCGTGGTCAAGCTGGCGTGTACTACATCTCTTTTCATTGTAAACACCCTCTTTGTACAAATGGAATGTCTTCACACTGGCGTCGATAGCAACCGAGATCGGGCCAACACTAGCCACTGCCTTCTGAAGCTGGAGCTCGTTACCAGAGGGAATATTAACTATGCCTGTACATTTTGCCCCAACGTTTGACGGCCTGAACTTGCATTTGAATTGATTCTTAAATTGTGAAATAAAAAAAATAAATTTGTCTAAGCGTATACCAATTGCACATTATTTTCACATTATTTGAAAAAAAATACATACATAATAGTATGTCATATCTAAAAGAATAATATTGTCAGTGTATAGTGATAGAAAACAAGTAGATGATATAAAATGCTTCGAACCTTTCCGACATAAGGGTAGGATTCTTCTGTGTCAATTCCACCGTTTTCTTTGATGTATTTGAAGGCCTCTTCTGGTAACCCCCCTTGACATCCATGGCTTTCTAAGTTTTTTTTAAAAGTTTTACTTAAATTTATAAACAAAACTTGAATGCATTTTGATATCTTATAAAGGGAAACTTTATAGCGGAGCAAAAACAAAATCAAAGTCTACTAGTTAAGTTGGAGTTTTTTTGTGCATGAATAATTTCAGAAGAATTATATAAGCTTTGCAATATTTTGCAAGGTCTATGATAAAAGATACTGTACTTTTGTCGCAGTCTAGAAGATTCTGTTCTGATAAAGAAACTAGTTTTCTTGTTTTCCGAAAGTGTTGTCCCTCCAGCGCACCAGTGGTTGAAAAAGCCCAGCATGATCCACATCTACCCTGTAAAATAAATCTGCTGACGCTTTACTTAAAGCCATTGTTGTGCTATTGAACAGCAGCGAGCAATCATATACATGTATGTGTATATTATGTACTCCTGTAAAAAAATCATTTTAGGACAGCTAAGAACATCAACAGCAAACCTGGTCTTTAACAGGAGTAACATAGCCCTTTGTTCTCCAGTCTACCGTATCTGGAAGCCTCAGGTTGTTGGGTGGTAGAAAAGTACTCCCATTCATAACACTAAAGCCCCTGGCTCCATTTAGAATTGCTGACACTTCTTCGCTGGTCTAAAATGCATACACAATACGACTCACATAGCGAATCTAGAGGGGTGGAGTGGGGTCGGGGGTCCGGACCCCCCCCCCCCCTGGAATTTGCAGAGTAATTAAAAGTATATACTGAAACAAATAAAAAATTACTTTGGACCCCCCCCCCTTTTAGAAAACGTGGAACCCACCATCACCACCACGGAATAGGAGTTTTTCACGTTTGGGAAATGGAATTTACGGGGGGGGTTGTTTTTTTATTTTTTGTTTTTTTGTTTTTTGTTTTTGTTTTTTGTTTGTTTGTTTTTTTTGCTCGTCAAGAAATTTTTGGGTTGGAAATTTTTTTACTAGGATGGACCCCCCCCCCCCTGGAAAAAGTTCCTGGATCCGCGCCTGACTCAGTCTTACCTAATGTACAGGTTGAAAGTAGAACAAACTCATTTTATTTTGAAAATGTCCAATTCAAAATTCTCCGTTTATTGTTAAACTCTATCAAATTTTCTTTACTTTTTTATAATGTCGTCGATATTTTTATAGTCATGTATATATTGGAACAGCTATTTATTATTCTGTTATCTTTGAGTTGTCATGTACACTATTAAGGATGGTGTCTAGTAACATGTTGGTTATTTTTCTTGTAATACTGATTTTCTCAAGTTCGCAAAACAAAATTATGGAATGTTTGTGAAACAGGAAAAAAAGGCATGTAACATTGGCTTCTTTTTATTGCCAAAGTGTCTTAACAGCTATCCTATTTTCTGACTTATCTTCCAATAGAGCTGTGACATTTTAGTATAGAACACTTAAATCGTCCATATCTGTTCCAAAGAGAGTAAACTCATTCTTTTTTGTTTAATAGAAACCGTCTTTTTTTTGTATTTATTTAAATTTTCCTGTAAGGAAATTCCTAATGTCTACAAATTTAGAAAACTAAGAAGAAGTATATTTTACCTGATTTCCCCTCATTATTTTCGAAGTTGTACATGCATATTAGCACACTAGTACCTCATACTCTTACAATATAAATTACTGTGTGGAGGAACATATTGACATAAAGTAAATCTGATCAAGAATATAAGAAAGAAATAACAAATTTCCATCATAAATAAGTAGAAGGTTGGAGCATCTTAATTTGCCGACATGAGAGAGACAATTAAAATTTTGCAAATCTTTGATGATTTATCTCTGGTCAATGGCGAACAATTTATTGATATTTCATTTTAACAATACTTTAGATAAAAATATAGTTTTCTCAATTTTATAAGATTCAGAAAGTCATCTGCTATATGAGTTTCATTTTGTTAACAAAGACAAGAGTATTTTTATGTTTTGAAAATTTAAACAACAATACAAAGCATATGTTTATTCTCATTCTCTTTTTCCCAACTTTAAGACTTTCTCTGTAAATCTCAAAAAAAAATTTAAAAAATGTAGGGCAAATACTTAGTCTGTTGTTCTCTATGAAATAAGAAGACAACAAAGAGTAAACAAACTCAAAAGTCCACTGGAACAATTCAAATTGGAAGCAGAGCAAAAGTCGGAGTTGGGATTCGGTGCAGTGGAGGAATACCGTTCACCGTTCACACTGACCGTGTGCTCCATGTCATGATCGGGTAAACGGAAAAAAATTCGTAGACAATTCAGTGTGAAAATAATGTCCTAACAACAATATTGTTGTTAGGACATTATTTTCACACTGAATTGTCTACGAATCATTCAACGTTCGACTTAACGATAAATTGTGTTTGCTAACAAGTCATTAAATAGAATACAGTATATTGTTATGTAAATAAGGGAAACTGACGATAGAAAAGATGAAATCATCACGATTATCATAAAGTTAAGTTCTAAGTTTTTCAAGTGTCTTTTTCTAGAAAAATATCAAAATACAGGCCCGTAGGAAGCAATTTCAGTTTGGGGTGCACAGCCATACATTTTCAGTTGAGGGGGCGCTATTGACTACTAAAATTCCTTGACAAGCAAAAAAAAAAAAAAAAAAAAAGTCATCAGACGTTTTTATTCAGGGGGCACATGCGTATAGTAGCTATGTTTTCTATAGTAATCTATATATCGGCAAAATTATTGGGGGGCACGCCCCCCTGTGCCCCCCCCCCCGGTTCCTACGGCCATGAAATATGAAGCAGATGTGTCAGACTCTGTTATGTCTTTTACTTTGAGTTCAAAGGGAATCAATGTAGGAATGAAAATGAAGATCGTTAATTAATAAAACGTCGTCGATATATCTAAATGTCGAATTGAAGGTCACGGCAAGAATGAATTCTGCTTCATATGATACAGAAACAGATTTAAAAAATAACAGGACGCAATAGTACCATGAGAATTCCAAGAGACTATTGGAAGACTTGATATCCAAAAAAAATGCATAGATATTATCAATCAGATACTCAAGCATCTTTTAAGTACCAACTTCGGAGTACTTGTACATTGAGATCTTTCAAAAGGTCGAGAAATTGTAATTAATTGCAATGATAATTTAAAACATTTGAAAGACAATATATACTAGTACTTTGTACTATATTTTTTCACAACTATCTAGAACTTAATGAAAATATCGATGCCGGAAATACTGTTTTGTTCCTACATTACGATTTTGAGTATTGCGTTATTCAAACTAATTGATGACGGAAATATTGCTATGTATGGAAGGGAATTACCGCCAAAAGTCTATTTATCTTGCTTTTATTCTTATTCTGCCTACTTCTTTATTCTTTGTTATTATTGTAACTATATGTCACTTTATTGTTTTCATATTCGTCTTTATATATACATTTCACTTTGAACTTTTTCATTCTTCATTTTGTCCTTACTTCTATGTTGCTTTATTCTTGTAAGTTCGTTCTTTTTTCTTTTAAATTGATACAGTTTCTTTAATAAATAACTATGATCATCTCTATTACAAATGTAAATTCAGTCACGCAAAGCATGAAGCGCATTCAACGAAGACGAATACAAGTAATGCGAATTTAATGCGGCATTATAACACTAGGTGACAGGCAATGTCCTATGCAGAGTTATCGTTCGTTCCTCTCTCAGACACCTCTGCAATGTATGAGCCGATGGTAGAGAGTGGGTGACAGGGTGTTCGCTGCGAGTGTTGGTAAAATTAGGTACGCAAACCCGGGCCGAGGTTATTCGAGATTTTTCAATTTTCTGCTATAATACTTTATCAATCGAACCCAAATTTTCAAGTTATGTTAGTTATAGGTTTATTTGTGTACGCGGTAAAATTGCTCCGAAATGCTCAATACTTTAGATTTTCTTGAAGAAAAATAATTGATTTCGAAGTTTTTGGAAGGCAGTATCAAGCTGACATTTTTAGTGGGGGTTTTTTTGGACAAAAATCTAATAAATTTATAAATTATTCTGGTGCTAAACATTATATTTTAACTATTTTAAAGCATTTCTTCTTTCAAATGTGCTTTTTTTGCTTTCAATAACACGTTTTAAGAAAATCTGCGTCATGAAAACTCCAAAATAATTGTGTATTTTATGTCACCTGAAAAATATAAGTAACTCTATTCAAGTTATTTGTTGGATGATTGAATTTCAGTTTAAGTGATGTAAAAAATATTAAATTTTTGATAATTACTAGTATACCCTTATAAATTGAGTTGTTTTTCAGGACCCCTATATATTCTTCCACTGAACTGACATTTCTTTATTTCAGGATAATAACTGTTCATACGCAGTCGCGTGATTTTGGGGACCGCGGGGCTAGTTTGGTTTCGGCCAACCCATAATGCTCTGCAAAGTAGTGCGGAACGTCATGGGTAGGCGTGGCCGGAACCAGGCTAGACAGGGGCATACTAGAAACTTCCCCCGGTTTTTATGAAAATATGTATTATTTTTTTGTATAAAAATAGCACTTTTCAATTAAGAAATAAATATCTCTAGTAAGCATACAGTGTTTGACATCAGAATAACTCAAAAAATTATTTTGTCAATGTCTCGTTTGACAAAAAATACGTAAAATGTCGGCTTGATATTGCCTACCCATCTTAGCAAAGTGGAAATCAAAAATCGCCAAAAAAAATCTAAAATATTGAGATTTTCAAAATATGAATACATGAATATAAATATTGGCATTTTTACAGCGAATACAGACAAAACTTAGAGACGTAGCATTGTTTTTGAAAGGGGCAGCCAGAGAAAAAAAAAATAACTTACCTAAAAATCTTGACAAGCAAAAAAAAAAAAAAACAAACAAACAAACAAAAACAAAAACAAAACAAACAAACAAAAAAAAAAGAAAAATTCTTCAAACTCGAAAATTCTACTTTGGGGGAGGGGGTCCAACTTCTTTCAGTACCAAATTTTACTCATATGTCAATACGTACATGGCCCTTGTTTGACTAAACTGCAACAAAAAGTGGGGGGGGGGGGGGGAGGGTCAACCAGACTTTCAATGAACATTTTCATTAGTAAAAAGTTATGGCTAGAAAAATGTTTGGTGGCCAGCCCCCACCCCCACCCCCCGCTACCGGTGTCATATAGTGAGACTTACCCCATAATGAGTCTTTCCCCCGGAAGTCTGACTATATAGTGAGACTTTCCCCTGGAGAAGTCTCACTATATAGCTAGTCTTCCGGGGGAAGTCTTACCATCTAGGCAGCCTTCAGGGCGAGCGACACCGGGTACATGTCTGAACCTATAACATACATCATTTGAAAATTTGGGTTCGATTGATAAAGTATTAAGGCAGAAAATTGAAAAATCTCGAATAACCTCGGCCCGGGTTTGCATACCTAATTTTAACAACACTCGCAGCGAACACCCTGCCACCTAGCGTTATAATGCCGCATTAAATTCACACTACTCATATTCGTCCTCGTTGAATGCGCTTCATGCTTTGCGTGACTGAATTTACATTTGTAATAGAGATGATCATAATTATTTATTAAAGAATCTGTATCAATTTAAAGAAAGAAGAACGAATTTACAAGAATAAAGCAACATAGAAGTAAGGACAAAATGAAGAATGAAAAAAGTTCAAAGTGACATGTAATAAAGACAAATATGAAAACAATAATAAAAGTGACATATAGTTACAACAAGAAAACATTGATGTAACCATCAATTGTCGCCCGGGAAATAAATAAAGTAAACGATGGAAATGAGTCTTGATCATCAAACCGCTTCGATATGTGTGAAAAAGGCATGCGTCTAAATGATGGCGACGATAGTAGAGAATATTTTGAAAACTTATAGTCGGATGAAAATCGAACAAAAACGATACCCTTTTAAACTTTATCAATTCCTCAAGTAAATGTTGGCTGCATAAAATATAATTTGAAACCAGACACATGCATCACCTATTTTCAAAAATGTCTTTCACTTTAAGATTATACATGTAAAACACGAACTGTGTGAAATACGTTTTTACGTTTTTATGCGATAAGTAAAATTCGATGTTCTAAAAAAAAGGACCTGTCGTTTTTTCGATAGTAAATGATAAGCAACTTTATATATTAAATATGAAAAACATATATATTTTTACAGATTCACTTTATGGAAGTAAAATTATTGTGTATCTCGTAATTTATAAAGGGAAAGAACATTCTGATTAACAATCTTTTTAATGTTTAGAAAACCTTTAATTCTGAATAACTTCTCCCACCTCTATCCCCATATACCAACACTTAAACTTATATGTATAGAGCAGCCCGGTCCTCCGGGCTGCAATAATAACAAAGAATAAAGAAGTAGGCAGAATAAGAATAAAAGCGAGATAAATAGACTTTTGGCGGTAATTCCCTTCCATAGCTATGTTTCTTGTAACGATCTTTTAAAAAATGCAACATTTGAAATTTGTCGTAATTTATGAATATATATTAATGGTACGACGTACTGCTACATAGAAAGATGAGCTGCTGACGGGAATTTTTAACTTATATTTCACATGGATAAAACTATAAAAAGAGAAACAAAAAAATCTTTTATATGAATTTCACTTGTTAGTTTGCTTTGTATTGTTTGAGAATTTTTCACTCATATTGAGATGGCCCCACTTGTCGGTGGAGGGCCTGTACTCGGCACTTACGGCCTTCGAGCAGTGAGGGATCATTTGCGTGCCAGCACCTATAATAAGACACGGGACTTCAGTTTTAACGGTCTCATCCGAAGGACCGGTCTCCACGTCCCACATTGGGATTTGGACCCGCGACATAAGGATCCACTCCTTACTCTGCGACTCTAGAGCAAACGCTCTAACAACTGCGCCATGCGGGTGACTGAATTCTACTTATAAAGTACACTTCAGTGAAATTAATTTTCGCAAGAATTTCACAGGAATTTCTCGTGAATTAAAAATAGTGCATGTGAAATGCAAGTGAAGCGCAATCGGACGTATTGTTCCCTATCATCATATTTCAATAATACAAAAGATAAGTATTGTGATAATTAGCACAGTACTGATTTTAATTCTTAAACTAAAGCTTTAAGTTTAATTATAGCTTCAATTAGAACGATATAAAAAAAAATCTTCAAAGTTTATATATTATATAATATATATATTATATAATATATACAGAAGTATTTATATATTATGTTTCAGGATCTCAAAAAAATGAACTTTTTGATGTCAAACATTTCAAAAACAGAAATATTAATTACCATGTCGCCATATTTATTCATTCCCAGTCTATAGCTGTGATGTCCCAGGTCAGCTTCAGTGTTATGTTTATTGATGAAATCAATGTTTTCTTTCCAAATCAACTTTCTAAAAAAAGAAATCAAGTACAGCAAATACTGTACGTGTACATAAATTGGCGTATTCAAAATTTAGCGCAATCACTGGGTATGGAGTTGTTGGCGAAATCATGAATTAGCGCTTTTGATGTCCGTGCCGTATATTGTATTTATAAATGATTTAGCGGTATTCATGAATTAGCGCATCGTTGTCTGCGCCATAGCCGCTAAAATACGAGGCCCGCTTTTTTAAGTACACATAAAGTAAAAACATGTCTTAATGAAATCGAGAAACGGTGCGTCAAAAAAGAAATATAACTATATTTAAACCAGATATAATATCAGTATATCAGTATTATTACAGATTTCTTTCCTGTGATAGATAAACATAAAACTAATAAATTTCCTCCAACCTTTCCTGTTCCTCCTGCTGAGAGTAGATTTTCCCATAGATATGTTTAAAGTCCTCCCATTCTTTATCCAGGAAGACATCAGAAAGACTGCCGTAGGAGGTACACACTAAGAACACGACGATCAGTAGACTCTTAACCATCTGTTTAAAAAAAAAAAAAAAAAAAAAAAAAAATTATGCATAATCCGTGCGTCTTATTACTCAGGTTCACTGGATAAAATAAATTAAATTCGAAATATCATAAATTAAATTAACTATTTTCAGTTCAAAGCCTCAGCTAAGGCAACTTACCATATTTCTACTGAAGAAAATGTGCAATAATGTGAAAAAGGGTGAATTTGTCACAGTCTGGTTTATGGCTGTGTCAATGTTGAGACTTTCAAGGCGGAAGTATATTTTACTTCACTATTTTCCCTACGACACCAAAAATTTCCGTCTTGTAATACCCTCGATGATTGCTATATTTAATACTGTCACATGACGACATTATTCAGTTAAAACCAGAAGATATTTACATATCTTATTTAGTCGCCCGTGTGGTTAGAGCGCTTGCTCTAGATTCGCGGTGTAAGGAGTTGATTTTATCGTGGCGGGTTTGAATCCAACTGCTGGACGTGGAGACCGGTACTTCGAATGAGACCGTATAAACCGAGGTCCCGTATTGCAGTAGATGCTGGCACGAAAAAGATCCCTTACTGCTAAATGGCCCTGAGTACCGATTATTGGTCTAAGTTTGCAGCCCTCCACCGGGAAATGGTGGCGTCTCCATATGAGTGAAAAATTCTCGAGAGGGGCTTTAAACAACAAACACTTTTTTTATTTACAAATAAAAGGGGGATACCTATGATTTAGCTTAAAAATAACCAAGTAAATCTAATAATCACCCCATTTTAAATTTTAAAATAGGACTTATATACAACATTGTAATGTAAATAAAAATTACATTGTAATGTAATAAAAATATTATTACATAAATTGATATATTTCTAAATAGAATGCAGAGGGGGCACTCGGGCATTTTGACCCACACTTTGAAAACCCGGGGACAACTTTTGTGTTTATGACCTCACAATACATTTCTCGTCTCTCCATTCTTAATGACATCACAAGTAACATTTGACGTCACTAATATTCGTTAAACTAGCAATTAACTTATGTAATAAAGATTTTATGACCAGAAATTTAAAGATATTTCTTTTGTATGAATTGGAAAAATAAATTAATACTACTAAAATATGTAATTAAAAAGTTTATCAACTGATATGGAGAAATATGCCCGCCCTCGGTCTTTCTGCAGATGCGAACTTCGCAAACGTTATCGCACACGAACCTAGGGTGGGCATGTTTCCCCATATTCAGTCAATAAACTTTAAATCATATAGAAGTTTTTATGAAATAGATAAATAACGTTACGATGTGATTATCAACTTTAATTTCACGAAAAGCTTTGCGTAACTATCACCAAGCTGATGTTAAGCATGCAAGTAAACCATGCTTGAAAAATACCGAACATATTCTTCAACATGTGCAAAGTATGAGGTCAAGTGATTTGAACGCACATTGACGTAACAATCCACCATAACATGCTTGACAATGAAAGAAATTAAAAAAATGCAAAAAATTAATATTCAAAAATATGTATATACATGTATAATGCTTTTTATTTCTCGAATCAGCTGACTTTTGGACAAGGAAGCTATAATATATTATGAATGAGGAAAGATTTTTTTCCATCTGAATGGGTTTTGTTATCTCTACATCAATAATGTAGTCTTTTTAGTATATGCTCTTAACCTAAATTATCTTTATATATGTTTTCAATGATTTCCATACATTATCACATTATTCTTCTTCTTAATTCCCTTTTATGCAATGTAAACGTTATGTGATATTCTCTATTATTTTCTTTTTGACGGTCATTTTGCCGAATTACAACGCAGACGTAACATATACATTGTAACATATAATCGCAAATTCTATGGTCGATACACTGACCTTGTTAGCAAGTACAAGCTGTTATGTCATTATTTTCACACTGACTTGTCTCTGAATATTTCAGTTTGCCCGATCAGGACAAGGAGTACACGGCGGTTGTGACAATTCGACAGGGGATGCTTATTCCTTCATGACACCTGATCCCACCTCTAATGATTTAGAGGTCCATGTTTGATCTGCTCTAAATTTTTATTGTTCGTATGGACTTTTGATCCTGATTACTGTTTGTCTTTTCATATCATTAATTTTTAAAAACTTTGTATAACCAATCCTTATGATAAATTAAAGAGATGGCTTTTTGATATCAAAGACACGATAAATTAAAGAGCTGGCTCTCTGACATCAAAGACAACCTTTTTCAATAAAAATGGAATCCAGAAAATTTCATCTCTTGTGATTGGTCATCTACAATCTTACTTCAATCTCGTTCAAAGTCAACATTTTGCAAATTATATGGCAGATGACCTTTGCAATTACGGTCTGTCTTTAGTTCAAATATATTGGCTGATGTATTTAATACAAATTGCTAGGTCATTTTTTAAGTAGTGAATTTGACTATCGATTATTTTGTTTACCGGAGCAAGACAGAGGTTACCGATTGACAGCGGTCGCTAACTCTTCCGTGACATCTGATTCCACCTCTGGTATTTTCAGAGGTCGGTGTTTGCTTTGTTTTAAAACTGATTGCATTATTTAATTGAAGTTTTGGCCATAAATACTTTCCATTATCTTTCATAAAGCTATACTCATCTAAAATTGTGAAATCTGCATTGAATTTCGTAAATATTTGATTTACATGTAATAAAATATATTTTCTCTCTTTATTTCAAATTCAGTATACTATCTTTGCAAAAAGCTAAAGCTCTGTAGTGGTAGACAAGTAGCTGATTCCCTTTCCTCATTTAAAAAAAACGCACATTTTGCGTTCCATGAAAGATTTTAATACTAATATTAATGCTGTCTTATGTTGTTTGACGGTGAGTCCTGTCTCTTCTTTACTTTTGCAAATATGTGTATCATTTGCAAGTTAAGGCAAAGGACTAAAATCATCATGCCCAGAAATTAGGATTTGAAGTCCTGATATTACCACTTGTACATTCCAAACTCCAAAATGGTTCATAGCATAGATATTGAACTTTCTATCAAGAGGATTAATCAGCTTTTCCAACAAACCCTGATATCATAAATTCCCACTACCTACCTTACAATATACATGCAGGACTGGTCTTTTTTTTTCAAAAAGAGAAACAGTGACTAATCAATGAATGTGAAGATAACGTACTTTGATCATGCTCAAAAGTCCATCAAATATATAAATTGCACTAACACAGACCTTTGCAAGGCTAGATTTAGGATCGAAGTCCTAAGTAAAGACAAAGTTAACTTTACAATCTATAGTGTTACCAGATACCATATTCCACAGCATTATTTGTGTATTAATATTTCGATATCTGATATATAAGTGTTTTCAAAGTTTACTAGCATCATAGACCAATATTCCATTTCATCTTTACAAACGTTTATGTTGGAAGCTAGGTATGTTTAAGAAATCCCATTGGTCTTGTTCGACAATTTAGTTCATATTTTTATTAGAATACTGCATGATACCTTCAGTGGACAAAGAGTAAGATGGAATGAAATATGGAAATAAGGAACAGTATTCAAGCTCAAAGTCCATTCAAACAATAAAAATCGAGAGCAGCGTAAACACAAACCTCCATAAATATCAGAGGTGAGATCAGATGCCATGGAGGAGTGGGCATTCCCTGCCCAACGGTCACATCAGCCGTGTACTTCTTGTCATGATCGGGAAAACGGAAAAATCTGTAGACAATTTAGTGTTTAGATAATAGCCTAATAATTAGTATGAAAAACATCAGTCAGCATTTGTCTTAAAGATGGATTGTATTTGCTTACAACGTCAGTGTATCGACCATAAAACTTGCGAAATAATGATTTCAAACGAGATTTTTGATATCCTTGTTTCATCAACTTGTTTGTTAATAACTTGCCTCGTTTTAGAAATTGTTCATACGTAGAGCATGCTCTTGCACATCGAATCAACTGGGAGACAAAAATTCCATAAGCAGGTGATAAGGATATATTGCTACATAAGTAAGGGAAGTTGACGATTGAAAAATTAAAGTCATCTAGTTTATCATTAAGCTTTGTTGTTAAGTTACCATCAAAGTCTTATTCTAGTAAAATGTTCAAATAAGATACAGATGTGTCAGACTCTGTGATATCCTATATTTCAAGCTTACTGGGATATATTGAGTCGGCATTTGAATTGAAGTAACTATTGTTAATTGATAATACCTCGTCGATATATCGAGTTAAAGGCCACAAGTGTTTTCCTCTTCTCATGTAGAAGTTTTTGAATATTTTCTTCTTCATATGAATACAAAAAAGGTCTACTAATAAGGGGGCGCAATTGGTACCAATGAGAATTCTAACAGATTATTAGAAGACCTAATCTCCAAAAACTACATACATGTAGATATTGTCAAACTTAAACTCAAGCATCTTTTTTAATATCAACTTAAGAGTACTTGTGTGTACAATCAGAATGTTTTTAACAAAATAAATTAGCCAATGACCGATGACAAGTTAAGTATATTTACGAGTTCCATTTTCATTGAAAAAGCAGCTGTCCATGACGTCAAAAAGCATTTAAGGACTTTAATTTATCGTAGGGAATGGTTGTATAAAGTGTTGAAAAGTCGTACGCTCTCCATAAATTGCAGGAATGATCGACATTTTACAATTTTTCAATCAGTCTCTTTGATCATTGTGATAAATGAGAGACAATAGATAAATAAATGCTTTTGCTTAAATGTGTTATTTAAAGTCGCAAGATGGAGAACAATTGCTTCATCAACTCCGATCAGTGTGGTGCGATCTCCCTACTTTACATCTATTCTTTCTTCCGCTTTGTTTCGTGCAAAAACAATTCGAATGAACATCAATATGACGGAGTATATTAAGTTATATGAAGCAAATTAGTGAACTTTTTTCACTTGTATTCCATTTATGCATTTCAATGATATAAATGTTGATAAATGTTGAGACTTTAATTATTATCTAAGATGGATAGAAAATACACATTTACATACAGAGATCCACACTTTTTTAATTTCACAAATTAGTCCTTTTTCACCATACGTTATTTTAATTTTTTCTTATTCAAGAAAATAAACATGCTACAAATACAAAATGAGATCCTTATTAATAGGTAACTCTTCACATATCATCACTCCTCCAACAGTCCCGTTTTCTTCACACAGTTGGATACACGGCATGGTTTGCAATTCCACACTGATTGTCCTTATTCCTGGACATCATTATGTAGCCATCCATACCCCACGATTTGTTCCAGCTGAAATTCATGATAACTTTTTTTTTAATCAAAATGCTTGTGTCATGAATGACATGTATACTTTGAAAAGTATGGGATTTTTTTTCGAATAATTCATTCATATATACCTCAACTATCTATTCTCAGCTTAAATAACATACTGAATTATACAATCTTTGAATTTCGTGAAGTTCAACTTTCGTGAATTTACTACCTATATGAACGAATATTTCATATAGGCCATATGTTTCATTAGGAGATTTCTTCAGATAATGTTGATCATCCACGACAACTGTACTCAAGGATTAAGATGATTCCGCAGAAGTCGAATGCATGCAAAATTAAGGAACATGTCACTTTAAGTTCCATTCTCTCAAACTTAATGAATTTATTCTTTGATTGGCAATAACTATTTTCCCTCACCCTCTCTCTTATTCCCTTTTTTCTCAAATACTTGCCTATTTTTTACCAGCCAGTAGTCTTTCCCCTGGTATACGCCATACCCAACAACCAACACAGCATGGTCAAATATGAGGCTACTGCAAGTGTCATCATCGTATACACCTTCTTTGTATAGATGGAATGTTTGCTTGCTTGCGTCAATACACACTGTGATTGGACCGACACTGGCCACTGCCTTCTGGAGGTTCAGCTCATTGCCGGGCGAAACCTGAACAAAGCCCGTACAAGTAGCCCCGACTTCTGACGGTCGGTATCGGCAAGTGTTCTTATCCTAAATATATAAAATTCTCATACTGTAAATATCATACTGTTATCATAAATTATCATACTGTTAATGTTAAGCATGTTTATGTTATCTTTTCTTTTTATTTGTGAAATATAAACAAAACATTAAGTCACATATAAATATATTTGGAAATATCAGAGGGTCATTGCCATAGCGCTTACAAAAATTACATTTCAGTTTAAAATTAATGCAAATTGAATCTAAAACAGGGATCTTCATTTGGACCCACCTAAGCTTAAGGACCGAGTCTTATCTCTAATCTTTCATCCAGTTTTTTTAAACACATTCTACTGTAATTTTTTATTCTCTGTTGATCCGTTTACTATTAATTTGATAACGAAAAAACTTGAATTGCTAATGCATGTAATATTTGAGAACGTATAGTGTCACTGTTCTTGATATTATTTTTCAAATATTCCACTGCTTATTCTTATGAAAACTTAAAACCCTATCTGTGCCCCCCCCCCTCCCAAACTAAACATAATTTAACAAAGTCAGACAATCAAACAGACAATGGACTCATTTCAAACAGATCAGCTCATTAAAGCTTCAGGTTTGGTGTATTAAGGATTATAAACAAATTGTCCATTTTCCATTCGTTTTATTTATACCGTTCCTTGGTATGGATAGGATTCTTCAGTATCAATTCCTCCATTGTTTTTAATGTACTGGTAAGCTTTCGATGGAAGTCCTCCACGGCATCCCATGTTCTCTAAATCATTAAATCATGCGTAATTTTTGTCTTAACCCAAAAGAACACTAGAAAATGATGTGTTTAGTATTCACATTTATATTTTCCAATTTTATATAAATAAAATAAATAAATGTACCCATGTGATACCTTTGCTACAATCAAGAAGATTCTGCTCGGACAAAGATACTAGTTTTCCTGTTTTACGAAAGTGTTGTCCCTCTAACCCACCAGTGGCTGAAAAAGCCCAACATGATCCACAATTACCCTGCAGATAAGGAAATTGATATGTTTTTCACAATTCTGTCATTTATTAACTATCTCAGGTTATTGTTAAAATCGGCATTCTAAGAACTCTTAAAAATATGTAAAAATATGAAAAAAAAATTTCAACAGAACAGAATCTTTTTGTTTCACATAATCTTTATTCTATTCTGTTTTGAATACATGCCTACATTTTCAAAATGGGAAGATGTACTAGCTGAATAACTTCCATTTAAAAATCAACAGCGAACCTGGTCTTTAACAGGAGTAACGTAGCCCTTTGATCTCCAGTCTACAGTGTCTGGAATCTTCAGATTGTTAGGTGGTAGGAATGTACTCCCATTGACAAGGCTGAAGCCCCTGGCACCGTTCAAGGTCGCTGACACCTCTTCACTCGTCTGTGAACCGCAGTGACAAAGATTTGGAAGGCATGCAGTGAATAAAATATTGGTAGAATGAAATTACAGTATAGAAATCATGCTTTTAACTAGTAATTCAAAATAACAGCCTAAAAAATAACTAAAATAAAATGATTTAAATTTTTTTCACTGGAATATTATTGCATTAGTTTATAGATTTCTCTTCATTAGATCGAAATTTGTCTTTGTTTCCTGTTCCTTACTATATTAAACACGTTGAATTCGACTTATTTTTCAGCAAAGATGGGCGAACAAGGCGAGCGGAATGCCTTTAGTGCAACATACATGAACGTAAAAATAAAATTTCAATTATCACCAAATTTTCTTTGATATTTCATCTAACATTAAAGTATACTTTATGTCAATCTCCACAATTGCGAAAACCGCACAAAAATTGAATGCAAAAAGGGTCATTTTCTCGTACTATAACACAATTTTTCGATATGAGTGGGTCTTCGCTCCATTTTTTGAAAGATTTTCCTCTAAGTTTACAAAAAATATATACATTTTTAGTATAAAAAACATGGACCAAAGACCCACTATACCTTAAAAATACACTTTTATGACACAAAATTCGCATCTTTCCTAGAAAAACTGAGTCCATTCAGTCAAGCGTCATATCACAAAGATGATTTATATGTCACTATTTATTAGGAGCTGTGTACCTTAGTGGTTAGCGTGTTAGTCTCGAAGGAGAATGATATTCAGGATTTCTATTTCTAGGAATGGACGATCAATGTTTTACAAAGGAATACATAGGGAAAAACTAAAAAAATCTTCCTCTCAAGAGCAGCAAACCCATGTTAAGTCATATTGATATGGAAGCATTCTCAGGTAGTGAAGATTCAAGTTTGTTGAAATCATGACCCCGGGGGATAAGGTGGGGGCCACAATGGGGGATCAAAATTTTTTCTAAGAATATATAGGGAAAATTTTTTTTAAAATCTTCTCAAGAATGGCAAAGCTATGATTATTCATTTTGAAAAGGAAGGATCCTCAGGTAGTCTAGATTCAAGTTTGTTCAAATCATGTTCCCCTAGGGGTAGGGTGGGGCCACAAGGGGGGATAAAGTTTTTACAAAGGAATATGTAGGGAAAAATCTTTAAAAAGTTTCTGCTCAAGAACAACAAAACCGTTTGTTATATTGATATGGAAGGTTTAAAATTCAAGTCCCCTCCCCATTTAAACTTTTCAATACTGAACTGATTTGTGCTTTTTCCTAGCCAATGTGATCGGGTGAGCGATGAGGCCCATGGGCCTCTTGTATTAACAATAGAATAATTTTTACCCAGAAAAGTTTTGTTTCATAAATTTCAATAACGAAAACTTTCAGATTGATATATCTGAAGCTATTAAGCATTCTACACGCCTTGTTCACCAATCACCTTTCACACTGACGAGGTTATTATGAATAACAGCGGGAAAAGAAAGTGGAACAGTGCACGTATGCCCATGAAAGGTTAAGGATTAATTTTACTAGGTTGACTGAAAAAATCTCGAATTGTACAAGGAACAAGAAACATTATCCTACACAATGTCTTTCAACACAACATCGTTTATCTTTAATTAAGCCTTAGGGATAAACTTTAAAATTATTTCGTGTCTATGGTTCTATCCCATGCAATTTTTCTACCTTATGAAGTGATTTTATGTGTTTTAGGTGTAAATAAATACTTTATATCCTCAAGGCAAAGCACGTCTAATAAAATTTAGAAATCAAAACAAGATTGGAACACAAAGTCCATGTTTTAGTAGAACTAAGTTTGTTTAGTACTGCGTAATCAGAAAAAAAGTATTTTTTTGATACTTTGACTTCAAAATCAAAAGGTTAATTGATATATTCACTAAATATTTATTTAAGTGTGTTACAAAGTTCGGAGCAATTTTTAAAATAACAAATTTTCCTGAAATGAAAACTCTCTACATGCAGCAGTACGAATGAAATGGAAGATTACCATGTCGCCATATTTATTCATTCCCAATCTATAGCTATGGTGTCCCAGGTCAGCTTTAATATTGTGTTTATTGATGACATCAAGATTCTGTCGCCATATTAATTTTCTATGAAAATAAAATTAATTTATTAAAATTTGATCCATATAATAAGAAAAACAAAAAAGAAATCTGAAAAATAAGATTTATTATACTCCATACTCCCCAAAGTCAATTCTTATGTATACCAGAGCAATGCTTTAAACTGATGCAGTTTGTTTTTAGAGTGCATATTTCTATAAAGAAAAATACTTATAGGTGTAAACGTAATTTTCTTTCTTGTCAAGATATGGAGATTTGATATTTACAAAATTTAATATTTCAGATCTCGTGGGGGAAAAGTTGAAATAAGTAATTAAAATAAAATTTTGCGAACTTGTTTTGTACCTTGAGACAAATACTTTTGGCATTGGATAAGAACGTGTGGAATACATTGTATAAAGTTGAGTCTAAAGTGAAAATCGAAGCAAAGAAAACATTAAATATTCTTTTCTGTTAAAATTTTAACATTATATCTGATTATGGGAAATCTTAAAGCTTTCAGTCTGTGCAGAATTTACTTCAAAATATTTATATAAGGTAAAATAAATAGATGCAAAGGGGTTATATCGCACCCTGTCCGTGTAACCTCTTCAGTTTCAGTTCTCAAGTCATGTATGGAAGCAAATTTAAAATGCTCGAGTATGATGTCAACATCGTTAAAAGAAAATCAAATGTCGATTTTAAAAACTCAAAGAACTTTCCAAAAATTAAAAAAATCACATTTTTTTAAAATCAGAATATCAAAACGTATAACTTTTCTACACTTTATACAACCATTCCTCACGATAAGTAATAAACTATACTTTTCGATATCATAGACAATTCTTCAATTAAAATGGAAATTAGAAATTTTCATATCTTGTGACTGGTCATCAACAAAATTACTTTGCTAAAAAGAACTCAGGTACTATGAAACTGTTATTAAAAGGATGCTGGTGTTCCTTATGTAGTCGCTGGAGACCAATTCTTCCAACAAACTGTTGGAATTTCGATGGGCTCTTATTGTGCTTCTATATAAGCTGACCTGTTTTTATTTTCCTATGAAGCAGATTTTATTCAAAAACTTATACATGAGACAAAGAAAACACTTGCTGTAGCCCTCAACTCGACATTTGGATATATCGACTACGTTTTATCAATTAACAATACTTGCTTCAATTTATTTGTCGATTCGATATATCTGTTTCATATCTGGATGTTTTATTGACTAAATAAATGTTAATGTTACAGGGATTTCAACAACTCCGTTTAAAGTCAGCATTTCGTAAATCTTATGGGCGTTTTACTGATTATCTTAGCAAGTATAATCTATCAGATGGTCGTATTTTGACTGAAACATTTCATACCAATTGTTAAATTTTTAGGCCTTTCTTTTTATACTAAAGTTTGACTACGGAATATTTCGTCTACCTGATCAATACATAGGGCTTAGGGCGGATGTGACCGGTCGACAGGAGATGCTTACTCCTCCATGGCACCTGATTCCACCTCTAAATATTGAGGTCCGTGTTTGCTCTGCTCCAAATTTGTATCATTTCATTGGACTTTCGAGATTGAATACTGTTCGTTATCTTCATATTTCATTACTCCTCCTAGGCACCTAATTCCACATCTGGAATTTTCGGGTGTTATGTCCTGTTAACAGAACTTTTTTTTTACATGATCACTCTCCGATATCGTCAGCTTTTTCATTCGACATGAATAGGATTAAAAGAGATTTCACATGACGCAAAGTCGTTGTCGTCTATCAACATATATCTATAGGTAACTACAAGGCATCACGTGGTGATATGATTTATAAAATCATATGCACTATTAATTTATATATAATCTTTCCTGTTGCTATATATTGTTATATTTTCCACAACATAAAGTGCTATATGCTATTCACTAAGGTCTAGGACTCACTTGCCGACCTGTTTGTAAGGCACATGAAGTACATATATGTTGTTAGCATATATTTGTTCTGGTCTGTACTGTATAATGCTGTCACATTTTAGTCATTATTATTTCGTTGTTCCTTTTTCCTCCCCATATTTCATTTGTCTATATTTTTACATGTGACTTGTCGACTGCCCTGCAGTGCATACTGATATTACAATCTTTAATGAGGTGTTCATGAACTCAGCATGATTAAGTCACACTAAAATTGCTTTTAGCTGGACTATATATTGTAAAACACGAAATCAGCTTACCTCCTGTTTTCCTCCTGCTGAGAGTAGATTTTCCCATAGACACGTTTAAAGTCCTCCCATTCTTTATCCAGGAAGACATCAGAAAGACTGCCGTAGCAGGTACACACCAAGAACACGACGAGGAGTAAAAATTTAATTACCTGTAAATAATAACAATAGGAAACCTAACACCTGTGTGTTAATTAGAGATATATCACAGATTTAATTGATAAAGGAATCTTCTCTTTTCTTACTTACCATGCTGTTTAAAACGAGGAAGACTTAGATTGAAACAGGAAGTTTCCTGTCGATCTGTAATAAAGTTTCGGTCACGAGTCAAAAATATTTTGACAATCGAGGATATATTACACTAAAACATTTAAATGAATCATCGTAATTGAAAACTGCAATGTCAAGTTTGTTAATCTTTATAGACAATAAAGCCTGTGTTCATTTCTTGGTTAAAAAAAAAGAATGACATCTTACCTGTTGTAGCTATTGTTAAGCCTGATAAGGAAATACTTCTCTCCCGTTTAAATAATTCTGAATGTACTTTGATAGGCATTGTTTATTAATAGGACAACTTAAGATCTCAAGTGCTCTAAATATGGCATTTTAAAATTCGATTAAGTTGTAAGAATAGAATACCATTCGGGAAATTAATATACGCAGAATATGGTTATATTCAATTATATCTAATTATCATAAATCAGCTCCTGTGTTCAAATTCGACATCCTTGATTTCATTATTTTTTCTTAGCCCTGTAGATTTTAATATTTCGTTATTCCTTTATTTTCCCACTTTCACTTTCAAATTGATTGAAAATATGAAAAAACAAGCTCTGTGAATTCAGTATAGATAAAGTTAAGTTTGTTCATAATAGAACTCATTTTTGAACACAATTGTGTTGATTTCCACATATTGAAATACCCCCAAGAAGGGAGAATTTGGGCCTCAAATGACATTTTGAATCTTCCTGCGCCATGCAGATGTTTTGCGTATTAAGATCGATCTTTACTCATATAACTTTGAAGGGTTAAATAGATTTCCGTATAAGAGTTTATTTCCACAATATTAATTATTACCCGGCTGGAGACTGTTATAATGCACTTGTGAGAAATTATTTGGTTTTTTGAAAACCTCTCGTGATAACTGTCCTAAGGATGGACTAATACGCTCTCAAATGTCAAATTAAAAATTTTAACTTTTGCTCTAATTATTGATTTACGAAGAAAGCTAAGTTTCACAAAACCATCATGTGATGTTTGTTTCAATACGAGTTATTACTCCTTCTTCGGTTTTGACTTGGTGAATATTTCGGGGAACATCCAAAGGGTTTTTTTTCCTCTTTGCCAAAGTTTAAGTGATTGTAATTATCGTGAGATTAAAATTAAATGAAAATTGTGAATGGGGAAGTAAAGTAAATGCAGTTTGTTGTCATTAAAATTGAATAGGAATAATTGTGTAAACAAGGACAGAGCACTGTTACATGTAACAGAAATAACTCCGATATCAATAGAATTTCAAACAGCTTGTTTTTATGCAACACAAAAGTAAGGTTTGTCAAGATGTCTGAATGTTGTCATATCGTATACTGTGTATTCAGGTCTTTTGAAAAACTATTTCGGCAATAGTGAATTCGTTTAAAAACATTTTCGTGATGAATAACATGAAGGAGTCATTAAAACTGCCTTGCTCATTTATCTTTATTATCATATCATGGCAATTGGAAATACTTTTTCATGCAGTCAAACACTTCAGAGCTCCCTAAATGCTTTTTCGAATTAATCTAAAAATTATTCTGATTCTATACAAAAGTACTCTGACGTTGACAATATCAATTCATTGGAGACCAGGTCTTTCAACAATCTGATGGAATTTTCATGGGTACTTATTATGTCCCTTTATTAACCGACCTGAGTTTGTATTCTTATAAAATAGAATTTATTTATAAAGACATCTACACGAAAAGAACACGTCATCTGCTGTGGCCTTCAATTTGGCATTTAGATAAATCGAAGATGTTTTAATCACAATTTACGATCTTCATTTCATTCAAAGTTCATTCGATATGTTCAATGTACTCGAAATTTCACAATTGGTTGTTTTTTAGAGAGAGGGAGATGGATGGTATATTAAAAATAAAACATGATGACTTTCTATCGTTAACTTCAATTACCTACCATAATCAATGCATATAATGTTTATACATCCCATTTGATTCAATACACAAGAGCAAGCTACGTACAAACAATGTTTAATCCTAGAGAGGCTACTGAAAAATAAGTTTCTGTTACATGGGTATCAACAATTTTAAATTCAATTTTTCGCGAATTCCATGATTGTTACAATAACCTTGTTTGCAAATATAACCCGTCGTTAGGTCGAATGTTGACATTTTTTTCATACTGATTTGTCTACAGTTTAATCGGTTTCCCCGATCAAAATAAAGTAATCACGACCAGTGTGACCAGGGGATGCCTACTCCTCCATGACATCTAATTCCACCTCTGATTTTCCAGGGGTCCGTGTTTGCTCTGTTCTCAATCTGTAATGTTTAATTGAATATCTGAGCTTCATTACTGTCACATTCATTATATGCAGTTGTAGTTTTTCAGCAGTTTCCCTGTCCCTTTTTGGAGACAAGGTAAAACAGACATAATGATTTAGATAAGAATCGTATAAAATAAATATAAATTTAAAAAAAAAATATGACAATGACACTAACTTTATTCTCTTAAATGTACAAACATAGATTGTAGAGAGGAGGTAGAAAAATATACAAACACATAGATAGATAATATATTACATGTATAATAAACAGTACAAAACATCATGTTAAGATTCAAATCAATTATTTCCATCTATGATTTGTTTGACAATCAATAAAAATTTGCATATTTTTTAAGTACTGAACAGTTTGTTGTTGAAAGAAGTTGTTTAAACTTCTCTATATTTGGTCTGTATTTGAGATATATATTTTAACTTAGCATCTTTAATTTCTTTTTTGTATGCATTCAAAAACAAAATGAAATTCATCACCAATCTGAATAAGATCACATAAAGTGCAAGTCCTTTGTTCTCTTGGAAGACCATTCCATCTCCCAGTTTCAATGGGGAGTTTAAAATCTAAATCTACATAACAAAGTTAAAAAATTTTCGAGGCATATTAACAAGATATTTTTCTGGTTCAAGTACTTTTTTTTGATAAATTCGACAGTTAATACCCTTGGATGAATTATAAACATAACTTTTCCAGTTTGGAATATTTTGGTCAGCAAGTATTCTTTTTACTTCATTTTTAACCCATGCTACACTGTGCATCTGTTGTGTTGTCCATAAATAAGATAATCCACATTCATCTAAAATATTTTTAAATAGTTGGTCCAAGACAAGTTATGTGTCGATGCCAGTGCATACATTTTTGTTGCTAATTTATCCATCGCTTGAAAAAAATGAAGTTTTGCCCCCCCCCCCCCCCAAAAAAAAAAATCATTGTCACCTTAATATTAATGATATACCGTTCACGGTAGCTCAGTCGGTAGAGCGCTCGCTCCGTGATCGGGAGGTCGTGAGTTCGAATCTCGGCCGCGACAGACCTAAGTCGATAAAAAATAGGTAGCAACTGTTCCTTCGCCATGCGCTCGGCACTTTGGAGTGAAAGTTGCGGGTCTTTCGGATGAGACCTTAAAAACCGAGGCCCCGTGTCACGGCAGGCGTTGGCACGATAAAGATCCCTCACTGCTCAATGGCCCTGAGTGCCGAGTAAAGGTCAAAATTTGAAGCCCTTCACCGGTATATGGTGACGTCTCTATATGAGTGAAAAATTCTCGAATGGGACGTAAAACAATATACAATCAATCAATCAATATTAATGATAAGTGGGAATCGGCCAAGTTCCCCCATATACCATGAAGTTTTGCGTTTTAGCTTTCAAACCTAGGATATATACATCTATTTACAATATTTTAAGTGATTGAAGTTTTTTATTTTGTAAATCCCCATACTTCACATCCATACAATAGAACTGGATGAACAATTCTGTCAAACAGGTCTATCTGACAATCCATAAAAAGATTGTGTTGTTTACGTTTTGATATCACTCCACACATAGATTTTACAGATTTATTATATTGTTCTTTAATATTTTGATTAAAAGATCCTAATATGGAAAAATATACTCTTAAGTAGTTATAACTGTCAACGACATTTAGACTTAAACCATTATAAGCAAAATACGAGGGCTATTCATTAAATAATGACACTAAATGTACTCCTTTTAAATTTTACACTTGATTGAATTGGAACATCTCTTGAAATGTTTATTGTCTTCCATACTATTGATTTGACACGTAGTCACAACCTATTTATAAAGCAATTTTCAAAGAAAGCATCTTTTTCGGACCCACCCTGAGGACACTGTTAACATGAAGACAGAAGGAAAGTCCCGAAAGGACATTTTGAACATCAGGTCGTATATTAAGTATCGCTTTCTAATGAATATTACGGGAAAAGAAATTTTCAAAGAACTCGTGTCATTATATGGAAACTCTGTTGTATCTATCAAAACCGTTTATCGATGGATAAAGCATTTCAAACTTGGTAGGGAGGCAGTTGAAAATATCAAACAGCCCGGAAGGCCAAGATCAGTTATCAATGAGAAATCAGTTGCAGCAGTAAAAAACATTATCGACAAAGACGGCAGAGTGACCGTGAAGCAGATTGCCAAGAAGCTGAACATTTCATCGGGTAGCATTTTTAAGATTTTAAAAGAACTTTTAGGAGTCAGGAAAGTATCTGCGAGGTGGATCCCACACATTTTAAATGATGAGCAAAAAAGAAAGCGATTGCAAATTTCTCGAAAACTATTGAAAATTTACGGAAAATGTGATAAAAGACGTCTACATGAAATTGTTACGGGGGATGAAACTTGGCTACATTTTTATGAACCTGAGAGAAAACTGGGAAACAAAATATGGCTCCTTAAACAAAGTAAACGACCTACCATTGCTAAACGCGGCAAGACAGCAAGGAAGGTTTTGTATGCAATCTTTTTTGATTCTAACGGGATAGTCGCTCAAATTCCAATTAAAAAGGGCAGAAGTGTTACTAAAGTTGTTTACGTGAAAAAGATATTGTCTGAGGTACAAAAACATTACAAAAACAGAAGACCAAAGTCAGGAATGAGGGGGATCAAGCTTTTACATGATAATGCTCCAGCACACACTGCAAAGTACACACAAGATTTCTTGTGTGAAAATGGAATACAGCAACTGGATCATCCCCCTTATTCACCAGATTTATCCCCATGTGACTTT